CATTTTTACGCGTTTTCTACGCGACCGCCACTTCATTCCCGACGTCTGAACTGAGTAGCTCACAACGCTAGAGCTGAACAACTCACGGACAATGACAGTCTGCGCGTTCACCGGGGTTACAATTTAGGCTTTTTCTCATTTCCACGCAAAAGAGCGTACTGGAACCCTATCACCCAGAAATAAAAAGCTGCTTATCGGCTTGGAAAGGTTCGGGAACAATGATACAATAAGGGATTGCTCTTCAGTCGCGCCATCCGGCGTCGCCTGCTGGCGCATTATCCGCCTCACGCCTCTCCGCACAGGCGACTGAAAATGCGCGTTTTGTGAGAAAACGTCAAACTTAACAACACGATGGCTCGCGTGCACGTGGAAGTCAACTCACTGCGCCAGTGGTTCAGTCTTAACTCATTTTAACTCATCAAACTATTGAAATCAAGCGACCGCTACCTCCCCCCCCCCCCCCCCCCACGCCTGAACTGAACAGCTCACAACGCCAGAACTGAACAACTCACGGATAATGACAGCCCGAGCACTCACCGTGGTTACTCAGTGAAACTTCAGTGTCTCTTTGACAGTCTTGGCCGTAACCAACCTAATGCGAAGCTCGACCTCTGTCCGAAAGACTTCTTCTTTTGGTGCGAAGAAACATACCATTTGCGCAACAGCCTTCCCCTAGAAGCACTGACATACCTTCTCAGCAGACAGAATATGATCAGAATGGAGGTGCGACAGGCTGACGCTGGCAGCGGCCCTTTTCAAGGTCTATCAACTCCGTCGCAAGAATTTCTCCCATGGGGTATGGCAACGTAACGCCACTCGCACCTCACGCCAGTCCTCATGAAAGCAGCGGTTCAAATAACTAAGCCTGTTCTTGTACTGCGCAGCCGATTCATTCGAAAAGCCACAAACTTTTTTACATTTGAAGCCAGGCCTTTCTGTTCCGTTAAAAGGTAATGTAGAAATGTATGAACCTCAATGGTGCTACATTTCATCGCCGCTGACAGCGTGCATTAACTTTTGTGCGGGATCTGTCCAGGCTCTGTCCAATATACCACGAAAGGATGCAGCGTGCATTACGGTGCATCCCACTGAAACTGCTGAACTTTGTCTTGGACGACGAAGGTGTAGTTTTCTGAGAAGTCTAAAATGATGAAACCTTCGATCTCGGGCAGTCGTTTTAAAGGTCACCGATAAATTTATCTTGATGCCGGACCATTAAGTGATGCCTGGTCACTTCAACCGCGGCCTCTGACGATTTGATCAAAAACTCCTCCATTGGAAGAACAAGCTCAGTTAAAGAACAGCGGTCGGTGCTCACCTGATGGCTACATTCGTTTTCATTAACCGAATCCACAATGTGCTCTGGTTGCACATTGATCGCGACAACTGAAAATAATCGCACACCATCCTAAACGTGGATAATTCTCGCACACCCGCATCATGCAGGATTCCCTGTGAGCCTGCCACACGACGTGATTCAGTAAGTCCTTTGAAGTGACATCTTGCAGTCCGAGAGATCCAACCGTCAGCTTTCCGTTCTGGTGTAACAGCACACGCAAACTGCGTGCCGCTGCTAGCCGTTAGAACGAAGTGCTCGTGGGATAAAAGCTCCACATATATTTTTATCTTCAGTGTTTGAAGCTCTCGTGGCATTTATCGCAAGTGTGTTCCAAACGTTACAGAATACGCCCGTTGAAGAAAACAAAGAAAATGCAAGATAGTGGTGGGTAGATAGAGAGCCCAATGACATGTCAGGCAGAAATGGCTACTTGAAATCAAAATTCTAAGCTTTTCAGAAGGGTTTCGAAAAAATTGGTCTTACCGATCAGACGGACGTGTCTTATCTAACGATAAGTAAAAGTGTAAAAAGGTAGCACACCCCATTTAAACCTCGTCGTGCATTCGGTTTGTGCTTACCCAATGGATCGGTACAGCTGAGGTGGCCTGAGCGGTCTATTGTTCTGCTGACACTGACACTGCACAACAGGCACTGGCCCAAGACCCTATCACGGGGCCTTTGTTTCATTTCTGAGTCGCCCTACATGAACGGGAGACGACACTTTCCTCACAGTATGCACTCATGCCCCCCCCCCCCCCCCTCCCCTGCTCCAATTACCCCGGCCCCGAAAATACACATGGGGGAATGGGCAGCCGGCTGCGGCGGTGTGCCACGTGCCCAGTCTTCGTGCGTTACGCATGATCTTTGCGCCCGTCCTCGTGCGTTAAGCGGATAACCACCTTTTCAGGGACTTTAAGACCAAGCTAAGCCGTTTCTCATGCAGATGAGAGAAGAAATCAATAGCACATAGAAAAATTGCTCTTCGAGCGCAATACCCTGATTATCATTTATTGTGCCATGATTCCAGCAGTGGCATACAACTACTCAGAACAGTTTTCTCATAAGTTACTAGGTTTGCCATGTTATCTTTCAAGTTGAAAAATTGCCACCGAAGGTAGACTTGAAACACGTGACTTGAAATTTAACTCAAAGCTTTAACTCCAACACGGTGTAAGTAAAAGATTACGGATGTCACAGGCGGCTGCAGCGTCACACCTGTTACCTGATTTTATCCAGCCCCAAGGGATGATATTTTATGATCAGTCGATGTGTAAGACATATTAATTGATCATAAAATGCCCCTTATATGGACACAGCCTCGAGGAAAAGGTCATAAGGGGTAAACGATTACGAGCCGTGAGGGTAAGAAAAGTCAAACATCAAAACATGCGTAAAGTATTAAGGTAGTTACCAAAAATTTCAGCCTGTACTCAAAACCGTTCCGAGGGCAGTGCGAGAAAATCCCTCGGGGTCCCCTTCGGTTCCCTTACTCCTCTTGAGGCTAAGGCTAATAACGACAAATGCCAAACAACGGAAATTTCGGTCGTTTGTGTTTCTTTACACGGCTAACAACCTCGTAATGTTGTAAAACGTCGTAGTAAGAGTATAGTCACGACAAATTTGCATGCTACATGGCGTATGGTAAAGAAGTACTCTGTATGTGTATGGGGTTTTGAGTTGAAACAGTCATTTTCAAGATCATTCGGAGGCGCAAAATGACCCTAGAAGTCAACGCGCCCTAAAACCCCAATCATCATCAAGATCATTCGGAGCAGTTCACAGCCCTGCCCTTTTGAAGACCCGACACCCTCTAGTTTCTGAGCTACACGCTCGCGAAGATTTGCAGACTATTTCAACAACATTCAGGCCTGCATGACCCCATAGAAGTTATACAAATCCTGCCACCACATAGGCCATGCGGCGTCCAATGCCAAACATAGTTTTATCGTTGAGCAATTCAGATTTGGCGTGTAAAAACACTATTTTCAGATAGTATGAACACAAATCGGTTCTCTAGCAACATTGAGCTATCTGTGCAAGCTCAAATCACGAACCGCATTTTGTGCTTAATAGGATAAGAAGTCGAACATGACTGCTGGTTGTTACGGAAATGTGACTTGTGATTGAATAACTTAAGAAAAACGTCATAACCGAGCCTGTGAATACAAAAACTTTTTAAACTCACGGATAAACACCATGAGAACGGGCCAAAACACCAGCACATAACGATGTTTGACTTAGCGAACACTTTCACCATGCGCTTCCACCCCTCGGCGAGGTTAACGTACTACAAGCGAGTGCAAGGGTAGTAATTTTGCACGGCTTGTTTAGCAGCACCTCAAGCTCATACAAACATTCTACAACGCAATCAAACAATGACCTATGAATACAAATATTTACTAAGTAGAGAAGTTTTGTGGTTTTGAGCAGTCTTCTCCACTTAAAAGAGTCTTCTTTCAGTCTTCTCCAGCAGTTATAAGTGAGCTATTTCATCATATCTGATGCCTACTGCAATATCTTCAAACGTGAAACATTCCGCTTAGGCCAAAACGCCACATAATTATTATAGCATTAGCAACAGGAAAAAGGAACCACAACCAAAGGGGGACATTGCACTTTTCATTTGCATAACTGTTTATCTTCTGTGTTTTACCAAAAGGATAAATACGCGTTACTTACAGGCCTACATCCCATCGATGGCGTTGTATGTGTTTCGGGGCTTTGACAGTGAGACCGCATAGCAACGCAATAACCTTTTCATGTCTTTTCGCTGTGACACCGGAAAAACATCCCTTATAGGTGGCTACATGTTTGTCAGAGGAAAAAGTCAACTAATGCAATGGTACACTTGATAGAATCCCGGAAAGGAATCACATTTCGACTGCACCTTCATCATGTTTAAATTTACCAAGACTTATCATCCAGGAAACCTGCGCTAAGTTTGTTGGTACTCTGCTGGTCTTTGTTCCCAGCAGGTGGCTGCCGCGCAGGGCTGTGACACTAATGAACCCGGCAACTACACGCGTTGATGAAAAATGCAGCAGCCGCCAGCGGATGCTGCGTGACTGCATACTTGCGTGCGTGCGTGCTTGCGTGCACTTATGTGTGTCTGTGTGCATATGTGTCTAGGGCTAGAACTTGAGGCAACACACTGGACAGGGGCAAACGACAGATTTTGGAATTTTCGGAGTTTTTTCAAGGTATAAAGCATAGCAAGTTTTGAAAAGTCCACACATTCCTAAGGGTTTCGACATAATCAGGAGAGAACGTGCCCATCCCAAGACACAGAATATCTCTCCGTGTGCGTGTGGGAGATGTGCACAAGACACAGTGAGGCCGGTTTGGGAGTAGCCGCAAGAAGAACTTCCTCCAATGAAGCTAACAGGGATATGGCTTTGGGCACCCAGTCCTTTGAACGCTGTAAATTATGCTTTGGAACAGCGAATTTTTTTTGGCGACGTATTTTTCAACCGACTGAACCAAAACATTTTCTTCGCTTGATGCGCCGCTTCCCAGCCCAAGTGTGAAGGAGTGTCTCGTTTCAAAGACTTTGGGCTGATACGGCTAACTATATCAATCTGAGCGCATCGCTGAAATTAATCCAAAAGTTTGCATACGGTGAAGCACTTTTCCACAGCCTGCAGCTGATGGATGTGCTTACCATTAAGCACGTGGACTATGACCTTGACTTGCTCAAGGCCATCCGGGTCGCAGAAGTACTCGCCCGAGTCGGAGGGCAGCGCGCGGACGATGAGGAAGTAGCTGACGGTGTGGTTCATCTCGTGCACTGTCCTCACGCGCACGCCCGCCCTGGCCTGGTCGAATTGGACAAGCTGGGGAGAGAAGGCCGACGTTAGAGATGACGTCACCTGCGCTCGTGCTCAGGTCCTTCTGCAGAAGATGGCCAGGCACGCCGCTACCTTCCCGGTTTCCTTGTCTTCTGACAGGCTGCAAATATGCAAATACGCAAATACGCGAATAAGTGATGGGATTTCTTACGAGATCTCCTCACAGGTGGAGCTAACGCTCGATCCCATCACATCCTGCACGAGTTTGTTCCCAAACCACTGCCAACAAGCGATATTGTGGTGCGATTACACGAACTGCGGAGACGCAGCAGGAAGCCCCTAGACGTCCTTCCATACATCACTTCATCACAATTGACACACTATTATAGTGCATTATGGAATTACTGCAAAAAGTCCCAAAAATATCCGAGCTGCATTGTTCAAACACGTCTTGACATTCTTAAAAAGATACACATTATATATACGCCACAGGTGAACACAGTATACAGCGGAGCAATGTGTCGTAACTGAATCCTTTTTGACAGAGTACGAACGCATGGAAAAGCTGCAGATGTGAGTGTTTCTTCGGTGGCATATCATGCAACATTCCTCCCGAATCTCGGAGCTATCACAAGGCGCATCAGATAGAAGGACGCCAGGGTAGTTAGATTCACTCGCAAAGTTAATGGCGCACCACTAATGAGTATTGTCGCAAGGTCATTTTCTTAAACTTTTTGGGTCTCTTGACCAAGCACAAAGTGTTTTTTGTATCGCACTTTATATACAGTGTTTTGGCAAATTCCTCGGCGGTACTCACCAATCTGCAAGCCAAAAGGCGACGGCGACAGAAGAATCATATCATCTACATACGCAATATTATTTATGCTGTCTATATAGTGAAAATCCACACCAGCACTAATAAGTTTGATGGAAAGTGTATCAGTGTGCATATTGAACAAAACCGGCGATAATGCTCCTGACGGACACTATTTGAAACAGTAAACCCTTCGGTGACATGTTTCCCATTGAACATGGAACAACTGAGATGTGCACGATGAGCTGAGAGCCCTAACCATATGCACATCCATACCGCAACCATATAAATATTTTTACCGAGACCATGCGCATCTTTACTCTAACCATACACAGTTTCGTAATCTTCCTGAGCAGCTTATCAAAAAGTTTCCATTGGTTGACTCGGTCAAATATCTTACTAACATTACTAAACCAAGTGAACTCACGACTGTTATTGTGTAAATAGTACTAAAACGTTTCTTTTCTGGCGCCAGTAGCCATGCCTGTAGAATGACGCGACATAAAACCAGACTGATGATCATTTGTGCGAGGACTTCCCTGCCGCGGTTTAAAATCACAATTTCTGATACTTTTAAGCTAACGCTCACCAATGAAAAAGGTCTTTTTCATCTTTTGGTCAAAAATATTTCCGGTTGCATCCAAGTATTAGGACTAAAACTACTTTTATCAGACCAGAACACAAAAGACGATGCTTGAGAATCATCGGAAAAGATAAAGGCATGTGCGTAGCACACGTGAGACCGGCAGATTTGAAGAGCGCAGCAGTTACTCCATCGTGCCTACTCGCTCGACCTGACGCTAGGTCACGTACTGGGTCACGTAGGGAGTCCAATATCTCTTGAGCACGCACCTTGATCGATGCATCCGAGTGAGTCCTTAGCCCCAACAAAACGGAGCTCTTAAGACGCTGATTGTGGGCAGAGTTTAACATATCGAAAAGTATTTTTGCACATGCACTCTATGTCTTCAAGCCCACTTAGATCATCGACTGTAGACGCCAGAGGCGCAGGGCTGTTCAGCTTCTCACCGCTTTCCAAAACAAAGCTGCATCACGAGGGTCTCTTGATAATCTATCGGCCAACGATTAAGCCTGTATGTCTTTTTTATTTTTGCTGCACTATCGTACTGCGCATTTAAAACGGGATTGTGTCGAGCACGGCTGTGTGTTACGCTTACCAACAATGGCCCACAAGCAGTAAATGTCGCCCAAATTGGCGTGCGTTTGTTGTGCGCCATTAGGTATGTAACATGAACTTAAGGGAGTGTTTTACATCTGAAGATATTGAGGCAAGCACCAGATACGATGAACGGGCTTGCTATTAGCTGTTGGTATATTTTTAAGTGGAAAAGACTGCCCTAGACAGCACAATACTCTGTTTAGTACATATGCTCCTCACTGCGTCATGGTTTGATTACGTCATCCTACCAAGTACTGCATTGGTTGGGAGCCGATTGAAGGCCGTTATATCTGGAAATCACATTCATAAACACCGGATATAAACGCCCAGACAATTGTACTCTTCTTGGCCTTGATCGCCGCACAGCGTTTGGAACCGCAGGATTTGAATGACGCTTCATGACGTCATGAACGTCAAGGTGACTTTGGAATATCCTCCCTGACATAACTTTCCCCATTTTCGCGGGCATGTAGCTCAGGAACTAGAGACGCTCAGGTCTTAAGAGGGACAGAGTTGTAAACAGCACTGAAATGTCTTCAAGGTAGTCTTTTCAGGTCAAAATATATAAAGGTGGAACGCATCCTTTAAGTATGTTCAGACTCAACAAAGAGCCAAAACTCATTATCTGCAATGGTTCTTGATGGATTGTTGAGATGCTGGTGGCCTCGCCGTGGGCCTAGTCTCCAGAGGGCGAGGGAGGGGGCAAGCCTTAGCTACTTCCTTGATCTTCAAGATCGTGCTGACTGTAGGGTTCAGCAGACCTATATGGAGCTTTCCACGTATACAAGTGCGGAACATGCCATACGCAGTGCCTAACTTTTAACGCTACGGGCCACTGCCCTCCAACTTAGTGGGGAATGGGAAACTTCCTGGACACGCATCATTCCGAGATTCTTAGACATGCAAAGTTTTAAAAGACCGCAAGAGGACTGCTGGGATAACGCAAGAAGGCTGCGGTGACATTCGAAGGTACATTGTTGAGCACCTAAGCAATTTAAATTTTAGGAGGCTTGGACGGGAATCAGAATTCGGAAGGAACCATAAGACGACGAATGAAGCTTCGAAGCGAGATTTTGAAGTTGGACATGAGATGTGATAAATTGTGAGAGATTGTGATCTAAGCGTTAGTTCTGGACTTTTAACGCAAAAAGCAGTTCCAGCCCTCCCACTCACCCAATGAATCTCAGATTTATTAGATGTGACTCGATCAAATTTAATCACATTTTTCCGTGTCTGTAAGCTTCGGGCATTCGGTTAACGACGCACAGACCGCGTGCAACACCAGCCATATACTCAAAGGCAGTGAGGGAGCGTTGGGTAACATTCAACGCCACAACAAAACCACAAAACATGACTTTGAAGTACCTTTACTGCTGCGCTCCTGCTGCCCCGTGTAATTTCGCGATGCTTATCCTGCGAATCCATTTACGTGTCTGCCCCGGCACTGTTGGGGTTTGAGCTCATGGTTTTGTCTCACGCCATGAGCTAAGGCATACAGGTCCGCTGAGACAGAGGCCCTGACTCCCTGGAGCAACGCACAGGGGCGGAGTGCGCCCAGGCCCAGCCACCAACCGGTACCTTGTTGTCGTGCGTCCATCGCACGTTCTCCGGCTTCTTGTGGGCATCTCGAATGATGCAGGTGAGGTTGGCGCTGCTGCCCCGGTTGATGTAGAGGTCGGGGCCGCCCACGATCTCAACCCGGGGCTCTGGAACGTGTGCAGTGGTCTGAGTTCGAGCGAGGCCTTGCTAAACAGATCACACACCTTTTCAAAAACGATCTTACGCGTTGCGTGACGCAGCTGTGGAAAACACACGCGAGGGATGAACGCCAAGGAAAACGTGCGAAGGGTGCTTGCGAATGAAATGTGTTTACTCGTTTGCTTTCTTCACGTTGGGCAACTGGACGAGTGTAAGCCTGTCATGACACAGCTAGAGGCAGGATGTTTGTAACCCGCGCCACATTTGCTTAACGAAGGGATGACGTAGATGTGACCGCAAACATGTTTCCATATTTTGCACTTCAGTTGCCATCATGGCTTGCCAACATCCGCTGTCCTACTTGCATGGAGCAAAGGGGATTCATAGCACACCAATGATAAAGTATGGGCCGTCGTACTCCCACGCTTCCTCTTCCATCTGGTCCAGTAACAGGCGCCCGGGTGGCCGGCTAGATACCCTTCGCTCGGGCGGGGGGGTTAATTGGACCCCCCTAAGATCTTGGGAACTAAGAAAGCTAGAGACACCAAATTTACAGGATGTGTTGACCCGTACGTGAACGCACTTAGATCAAAGTGTGAGCTTCCTAGGTTATGACCTTTATGTCAAATAAGGTCAAACAAGGTCAAATTACAGGTTGGTCTCTAAAGTGCTTCCAGAACCTAGGCAACCGTTTCTAAGCAAAAGGTCACATGCCCATTTGGGGTCAGTGACCTTGTTCAACCTTTTGAAGGTCATGGTGACTAAAATCATACAAGACTGCTTTGAGTTTTGCATTTGAATAATCGACAAAGATTACGCTAGGCAGTATGTTCCTAAAAAAAATGTCGACCTGGGCAATCTTCCGTCAATGACCTGTTCTGACCTCAAACCTCAAAGAAGTCAATGAAAGATGTATTATGCGGTTCCTGCTGTCGATAAATTAGAAATGAGCGCCAGAAACTGCCGTCATACAGCAAGCCATAGAGGAATAAATCAGGTAGGTTTTGATCCTGGTCTTGCCTTCATACCTGACCTTAGATCAACGTAATTTGCTCATTCAACATTTCTGGTGCCTAAGAAAGCATTTCAGAGATGTATGGCTTCGTCAAACACTCCGTTGTTGCATCAGATTGACTGATTCCCTAGAAATTGCCTTAACTGAAACTATGACCTGAATTTGACCTTCCATAGGTTAGCGACCTTACAAGATACATCTAGATTTGTTATGTCAAACGATCCGCTATTCAATTGTCTACAGCTATGCAAAATTTGGCGCGGCTACGCCACGCCGTTCGTAAACCGTTGTGGAAAAATCTTTGGGGCGCTCAAGTTGACCCCTCCCCGCCACCCGAGCGCATGTTAATTTATTCGGCTGATTTTACGTGAATAACGGCCTCAAACACAAAATGCAAAAAATGTCGATAACCAAGTCCCAAAAGGAAAACGAAGTATGAGCGATGCGCTAGTTGCTGGTGGAAAACATGTTTGCTCATAATGTAACGACCAAAAGAAATACCACCTTCCATGATGTCACAACCCAAACCGCGTGCATCATTCATAAGACATCTATAACCCGACAAAGACGACCAGGACCATTAGCGGGGTCACAGAGACGAATGGTCATGCATACACGACGCATTAGTAGCAGTCCACAACACGCCGCATCGGACCACGCCGGCCGGCTCAATGGGTCCCTCCATTGAGCGGCCACCGTCCACCGCACGCGTCCATTCAGCGAAACGTCACGCGCCCGGGCTCGCCGTCCATCAAACCGAACTGTGCCGGTCCATCGTCGGGGCTGAATGAGTGCTGAGGTCAGCGGCCATGTGACGGCAACCCCACGACGTCTCCGAGGAAAGGGTCAGCCACCCCGCGTGTTGAAGAGGCTGACCTTTCAAATGAGGCTTTTCACCTGTGGGGTTAAAAGCATCTTGTGCTATTCGAGTTCTGGAATGTGTTTTATGCCCCGTTCGGGTAGAGGCATCAAAATGTCGGCGCCTGTAAGGTAATCAATTTTACATTCTTTTGGAAAACGTGCGATTTCCGACAGGTTTCGACAGACATCGGAATGCTTGGCACTGCCGCATTTGCATTTGTTGCCAGCAGCTAGCAATTTTCTTTTCTTTTTGTACTTTTTGGGCAAAATTAGCTCGTTCGTTTGACTGCTTCCCAGCCAATGACGGCCGCTCTATAACAGGCTAAATCACTTCACCAATAGAGGCGATGGGAATCAACTTAAAATAACAGGGCGAAACAGATATTTGACGCCCTTTTACCACAAAAGTAACTACGACTGATAAATTTCCAAGCCAGTCACTTCTTCTATAGGCCATGTGAACCCGGACGGCTGAAAATGATGTCCTACAGGGCGACCAAGCCTTGATCTTAAACTGAACGAATGTGGCTTCAAACCCCTGTCGGTTATTGCGGTGTGGTCATGCGGCACAAGCCCACAATCTTTCGGCTATAACTAACTACAAAGTTCACGAACATTTTTACGACTGCCAGAAAACACCGAAATCACTCCAATATTTTGACAGTATTCAGGTACTTTGTGGCGTTTGTAAAACCATCAATCCAGCGATTTGTGTCGACTCCATTTTTTCTGGGCACAATCGGCCGGGCTTGCCTGGCCATAGATGGCCATCTCCCCACAAGTTAACGATGTAGCCAAGGCGGGGAGGGGGTCATGAAGGAGGATGTGTGTCTACGTTATTCGGTGAGATATCAAGTGACATTTTGCCCTACATAGCCGATGAGCGTCGCGCAGAGACCCATCACCAGATATAGCCAGATCAGTTATTCTAGATCAAAGGAGCTGAGATATTCATTGCGCTGGGAATTTTTCGACTGGGCGATGCATTGCAAGATGAGAGGAGTCAACTGTTGGCTTTTAACCTATGCTGAGAGGTAGGGCCACTAGTTGACTTTTCACACATTGATACATTTTCCATCATATTAAACACGACCGTCAGTGACAAGTGACAAGAAAAACGGTTGATGATGGCGGATACCTACAACCCACCTTTTTATTTTTAGGTCTACAGTTTTTACATCCTCAGCAGTCTGACATGTGCAAAAGGCTCGATAATTCGTGTCCTTACCCCTGGCGGGGTACATGAGGTCTCACTTAAGCACACATCACACCGAATGCTGAAGTGTTGCATGTCAAATAATGTCAGTAGGCGAGTTCTTCCGAACAGGTCGCACCAACAGATTGGTATGCAAACACAAAAGAAACATGGCAGCGGGCACGTCTAAAGCACGTCATTGTTCTAAATGCGGGAAAATGTCAACACTCATTTCTCGAAATAGGTGACAGTTGTCATAGCACCATCAGGTCAAGCCGGACCATCCTTAAGCCATCCTCCAATGAGAAGCTTTGGACAGATCGCAAACGTAAGCTTTGAGTTACGTATTACTAATGATCGTGTCGACCAGAGATGAGACGATTTTCTCGGAAGCTGTCTGACACGGGAACCTCTAATTGTTCCGCGGAAATAGCTCACAAGTGCTCATCCAGCCCCACGCTCCCGGATGGACAATGATCTCAAGCATTGTAGAGGAGCGCTCAAAATGGGTCGAAACATAATCCGAAGTGTACCAATCTCTCCGTAAAACATGTCGGTGCATGCGTGGGCAACAAGTATGGTCAAGATAAGTATCTTGGGTAGCCGAAAACGAGGATGGCCATACCCCGGCCAAATGTCTGTGCATATATCACCATACTAGTGGCCTGACCTACGACGCGGGGGATTCTACAACATGGTCACGTCACAACACGAGGCATCCATGTTTCCAGCTCATTACCGTCGGTAAGCTTCTTTGCATGTTACAAACTGTTTAGCTTTGAAATACTTGACACTAACGGTCTTGTCAACTTGCGGCCCAGCTGTTTTACCAAAGCCATCAGGCAGGACAACATCCATACGTTCCCATCCTTTCCATCCCTGCGAAACACCAGGCCTTAGGCGTCCAGTTCCAACGTCGTCGTTAGACAGTTACATACGGCATTGGCACGGCTGCTTGTGGAGACTCCAAACATGAATCACAAGATTCTAATGAACGTCACGTAAAACTGTAGACCTGACGTGATCTGTGCTTTTAAGTGTGCGGATCGACTCACGCATGTTTAAAAACAATAACACTGCCGCCGCGATTATATCGGCATTCCAAATGGAGACATGCCATCACGCCTCTCCGATGTATTGCGAAGCATGGAAGGTGTGTCATGGCCTTGTATCAAAATGAGCCAAATAACATGTGCGACAAGATACACAAACGTGTCGTGCGCGCGCTTTTAAAACACAGTTCCATTGGGTGGATTACTCACCAAATCTCAGATAGAACGTAAGGTACAAAATATAAACCTTGCACACATCAATGGGCGCAGTGAAAGCCTTGGCACGGAAAGGGGGGGGGGGCGGGGCACAAGGTTGAGACAGGGTCCTTGATGTGAAAGCCCACGCTCGTATAATCGTCAGATAATGGCCCATTCGTCAATGAGGCCCACGGTTTTCGTTGTTTTATCATTATCTTTACCTTCCATAACTGGAACAAAAGTCAGAAGTTATCACGACATCCACTCCGTTTAAATTTGCAAGGCAATGAACTGAAGAAATGAAGCGTTAAACGCATGGCTGGAAAAATCGCCGTCGCTTTTCAGTCTACAATGATTTATTGGACTCATTCTAAACCGACAGAAACTCATTAGCTTCACCAGAATTTCGATCTAGATTCTACAGATATGTTGAGGACTACGTGAACGTAGATTGTAGATGGAATGGGTATAACCTTATCTCAACTTGGTCACTCCATGTTTTTTTCTGACAAGGTTTAACATTCAGTCAGAGTCAATTACTGAAAAATAGGCTAACGCCGTTTTCAACATGCACGATCGCAAAATCTCGATAACCAAGACCTTGACGCCCGGCATTGCCATCTCAACAAGCTGCATGGTGTTGGCCCCCGGCTAATACTAAGCAAAGGTGGCAAAGAGGCGGACGCA